GTTTCCTGTTTTCATGTGCACCATAATTCAGGATTTGTGACTCATAAGCTGCGAAAAATATGGAGGAATATTTTTCTTTTTGAATTACCTTTATGGTTTATATCTTGGCCTGTTTTCATGGAAATATTCAAAAGATTGAAATATTTGAGTTTCAGCGCAAGCCCACTGTTGCACATATTTAAGGACCCGCTTCCTTATTCATTTAACTGCAACTTTTGAAGAAGAATACTTTCTTTCTGTTTTAGAAGTCTAAGTCTTTTAATTGTCAAATAGTCTAGTATTGATTTAATACTTGATTTGTTATTTGGGTTGTTAATTGTGTATCATTCATAAGCTTTTAAGCATTGAATGATTGAAGTCTTTAAAAATTATTATTTTAGTTATTTCTTCATTGTAAGTGATTGAAGGGATTTAAGGAGGGCCTCATACCTAGGATTGTCTTAGGTAGAAGTATAGCACGGGAAGTGATTAAGTGATTAGATCGTAAACTGGTTGTTTACTAAGGGCCTATGAATCGATACTATTTAGTAGACTTGTCCCTGGCTTGGTAGCCCCCAAAGTAGGTGTTGTTGTACACTGAACTGGGTTAACAATCCCTTGTGTTTTTTCTACTTTTATTATTGTTTCACTTTACTTTGTCCTTAGATATTTGTGTCGTGACATCTCCTTCGACCTCACATATATGATACCGGAATTTTAATTGGTATTAGAGCAGGCATCCAGCTCTTTATCTGGGTGAGATCCAGGGAAGATGCTTTCTGGTACTATGAATAAGGAAAGAGGATTTGTGAACAGACCACCCATTCTGGATGGAAGTAATTATGACTATTGGAAACCACGTATGGTTGCCTTCTTAAATTCTCTAGACAGCAGAGCTTGGAAAGCTATTTTAAAAGGATGGAAACACCCTGTCAAATTGGGAGAAAATGGAGAACCTACTTCTGAGTTAAAACCAGAAGAAGATTGGTCCAAAGAAGAAGATGAAATAGCTCTTGGAAATTCTAAAGTCTTGAATGCTATATTCAATGGAATTGACAAGAACATTTTCATATTATTGAACACATGTGAAGTAGCCAAGGATGCATGGGGAATTCTTTAATCTACTCATGAAAGCACATCCAAAGTTAAGATATCAAGACTTCAGTTGCTCACCACAAAATTTGAGAATTTGATAATGAAGGATGATGAAAGTATTAATGCCTTCCATATGAACATTCTTGAAATTGCTAATGCATCCAGTGCTTTAGGAGACAAAATACCTGAAGACAAATTGGTGAGAAAAATGCTCAGGTCTCTTCCCAAGAGATTTGATATGAAAGTGACTGATATAGAAGAAGCTCAAGATATTGACAAAAATGAAAGTGTATGAACTTGTTGGATCCCTTCTAACATTTGAATTAAGCATCAATGAAAGATCTGAAAAGAAGAACAAAAGCATAGCCTTTGTATCAAATACTGAAGATGAAGATGAGGATTGTGATCTGGATACAGATGGAGGAATATCAAATACTTTAGTTATGCTTGGAAGATAGTTTAACAAAGTGATAAAAAGAATGGATAGGAACCAAAGATCAAATGTCAAGAACATCTCATCTGACATCCATAAGTCAGATGAGTTTGGAATAAAAAGGGTTGAAGAAAAATCCACTCAAGGGAAGGGAATACAATGTCATGAATGTGAAGGCTTTGGTCACATTAGAACTGAATGTCCTTCACATCTTAAGAAACAGAAGAAGAAACTATCTGTTACTTGGTCTGAAGAGGACTCAAAGAGTGATCTTGAAGAATCTGCCAAGTATGTTAAAGCATTGACATGAAAATATGTATCTGATGAAGAGTCTAGTGATGGGGAACTAATCTTTGATAATTTAGTTGCTTCATATAAATAATTATGTATCAGAAGTGTAGAAGTGTGCCTTGAAGGGGAGAAATAGAAAGTCCTCATAACTCAGTTGAAGGAAGAAAGGGAAGAGCATTTAAAAATTATTTCTAATCTGGAAAGTGAAGTGACTTCCTTGAATTCAAACCTTAATAGAATGGTTAAATCTCTCAAGATGTTGAATAATGGATCTAACACTTTAGATGAAATTATTCAAGTAGGAAGAGTGATAGGAGACAAGAGTGGTCTAGGGTTTAATGAGAAAAAGGAACCAAATTCTAAATAACCTTCATTAGATTCCACTCATGCCAAGTTTAAACCAAGGATGTCGAATCAAGTGTCTAAACATCATGGGAAGAAAGGACATCATGGCAAACATCAAGGCAAGAAAAATTTTAATCACACCAGAGAGTATTCCCAGCCCTGGAGATGTCATCATTGTGGAAGGCTTGGTAATATAAGGCCTTTTTATTTCAAGTTGTATGGGTATCCTAAAACTACTCCTCTTCCTAAAACTGATCAGATTCCCCAAAATAGCAAAAAGAAGAAACAGTGGGTTCCCAAGTCTAATGTTGCTAGTTTCATAGCTCATACCTCTCTCAGAGTATCAACCAAAGATGACTGGTACTTTGATAATGGTTATTCTAGACACATGACAGGTGTCAAGAATCTGTTGGTAGATATCAAATCTCATTCCACCAGTTATGTGACCTTTGGTGATGGAGTAAAAGGAGAAATCAAAGGTGTTGGAAAGCTGGAATGTTCAGGAGTCCCCAAGCTTGATGATGTGTTACTTGTTAAAGGGTTAACAGCTAACCTGATAAGTATAAGCTAATTGTGTGATCAAGGATTCAAAGTTAACTTCACCAAGGAAGAATGTCTTGTTTGTAATGAAAAGAATGAAGTTATTATGAAAGGAATCAGATCTAAAGACAACTGTTATTTATGGGTTCCTCAAGAGATGAACTTCTCCTAAACATGTATTTTAGCCAAAGATAATGAAGTTAAACTATGGCATAAAAATTGGGGAACTTTCATATGAAAGGTATGAAAATAATTATATCTGAAGAAGCAGTGAGAGGGATTCCTAAGCTCAAGATAGAAGAAGGAAGAGTATATGGTGATTGCCAGATTGGAAAGAAAACTAAGATGTCAAGTCAGAAGATCCAACATCTAACTACATCAAAGATTTTGGAACTTCTTCACATGGACTTGATGGGTCCTATGCAGGTTGAAAGTCTTGGTGGAAAGAAGTATGTTTATGTTGTTGTAGATGACTTCTCTAGATACACATGGATAAGTTTTATTAGAGAAAAATCAGAAACTTTTGAAGTGTTTAAAGATCTCTGTCAAAAACTTCGAAGGGAAAAAGATAGTCATGTCATCAGAATCAGAAGTTATCATGGAAAGGAATTTGAGAACAACAAATTTGCTGACTTTTGTCTTCTGAAGGAATCAACCATGAATTCTTTTCTCCCATTACTCATCAACAAAATGGGATTGTGGAACGCAAGAACATAACCTTTCAAGAATCTGCCAAAGCCACGATTCATGCTAAGAAGTTACCCTACCATTTTTGGGCTGAAGCTATGAATATTGCGTCTATATCCATAGCAGAGTCACTCTAAGGAAAGGCACTTCAACCACCTTGTATGAAATATGGAGGGGAAGAAAACCAACTGTTAAATACTAAGGGAAGGGGAGGTGAGGGGAAGGGAGGGGAGAAATTTTAATTACATATATGTTTGGTTCAAAATATGAAAGGGGAAGGGAGAGGAGGAATTTTATTTACAAATATGTTTGATTCACAAGGGGAAGAGAGGTATTTTAAAACTTATTTACTTTTATATCCTTGTAATTTTACCATAAGACTCAGGATATTTGTCGTTCATAATTCAAATATAAATTCATTGATGAAAAATATTTAATCGTAGAACATCATGAAATATTTTATAAAAATGTAACGATTATAATATATAACTTTAAAAATATTATCGAATACAATTAAATCTAACAAAAATTATCATAAATAAAAATATTACGATAAGTAAAAAGTAACAATAAAATATAAAAAAATAAAAAATAAAAAATTTAAACATATATAATGATAATATGATGAAGATATAAAAATACAAGAAATATAAAAGAAAGATAAAATTTGTTCAACATAAAACTTTTAATATTTTAATAAATTAAATATATATTTAATAAATAAATAAGGGTAAATATGTAAATATAATTAATATTAAAAGGAAATACTTCTCCTCCTCTTCAAATCTTTCTAAATCGGGGGAAGCAAAAAGTGCTCCAGGAGAAATGTTGGTCCCCTTCATCTACCTCTCCTCCCCCTCTTAAAATTTGAACCAAACACATAAAGTATTAAATATTTTCTCCCCTTTCTTCCATTTACTCCCAACCAAGTAGACCCTTAGGGATCACACAATCCATTGTACGAAGCTTACTGACTTTAAATACTTGCATCACTTAGTTAAAGATGTCCATTTTGATATGATTGAGAAACCATGAGTATATGTGAAGAAACAGGCCCCTATGAGTTTCATGACCAGACCACAAGAGAGAAATATTGATAAACCAACAAATGTTCTAGTGTACGGGTGAATAGAAGAGAGGTATACAAGTGTGAACTTCACTGGGGTTTCTCTACTTATGGGATTGAATTCCTAATATTTTGACTGTGAATCAACAAAGATTTCAGAGGATCATGCATTGTAATGTTGTGTCTTCTAAATCTATAAATATAGTTTTTAAGAAGATTGATTGTGTCATCCAAAATTAATTAGCGTCACCACTTTTGTCTTTCAAGATAGTATTCGAAAGATTGTAGAATTCGAACCAATGATGATAAGTTGCTAAGAACAACCGAGTTAAATCAAGTTAACGACGAAAAAATGATCTAACATAAGCAAATGAACTTTGTTTTGAATAAGCAAATGTTTATATGCTTTTAAATTCATCCATAGCATGAAACAAAAACCACATCATATTTCTAATTCATATCACAATCATGTGGATATCATGACAAACTACACACTATCATAAACTGACCAAGTTTATTCAATTATTTGTATGGACTAATCTTTTTTCTTCCATAGTTCCTAGTTCAAATTTTGTAATGTGTAAGAGAAGAAGTACCATCTAATCCTCTTGCTTCAGAGTAGTATACATAATCAGCAACTGTAGTTTCTCTATATTTGGGAGGGTTGTCTTCTGATAAAAGTTCCTTCATAGGTCCATACAGCTTTGAGGATGACCTATGACAGGAAAAGCATGCAACATATATTCTTGGACTAACATGGTTAGCAACTACTCTATGTTCAACACTCTTGAATCTGTCATTTGTTATGAGCTACAATTCAAACAAAAAAAATAGTTACTATTGGGTATGTCTCATAGTTTTTGGAAATAAACACATAAAAGAATACAGAAAACATGCTTGCAAAAGATCTCCAACATTAACTATGAGAGCCCCAGACACAGGTTTAACATCAATCAATTTATCTTGATGAAGAACTTGAACGCCACCAATATGATCTTGGAGAAGCACAGTGAGAAAATCATTATCAGAATGATTGGTTGTTCCCACAGTTAATTCTGGTTGAGGACATGGAGGATAGTAATGGCCAAGAGAAAATAGTCCTTCAACACAATCCATGATTAACAACCTGAAAAAATCCCCAAGTTTCACATGCTTCTTTGATTCTATGAACAATATCTTGGTGAATACTTGAATCTTGATTATTATCGATAATATCTGCAAGGTCTATGACAGGAACAACATGGTTTGTGTTGTTGGATTTGTGATATTTGTCAGGTTGATGATGGAAAAAGCTTGGAATCTTGTTAATCCCAGCATCAACAAGTCCTTTGACACCAACTTTGGTTTCATCAAATGCTTTGCGTTCATGCAACATTGAAGCAAGATTAGGCTTGGTTGTATCAATGGTTCCCATTTTCTCACTATTTTCTATAGCTAGAAGATGTAACTAGAAGACACAACAAGTCAATATTATATATTGTTAAAATTAATGTGTTGTAACCACCACTATCTTTAGGAAGCATTATGAGAGAATTGTAACCATCACATTATAATGATTGTCTTTATTTAGATTTATGGTAGAGTTATATCATTAAAATTGAGAGAACCAAAGAGTCCTCATCTTGATTAGCAACCTATTTGTATTCTCTACCAGTTTCATTCAAGCCTATATAAAGGCTTTGTAATGCTAAGATTAAAAGTAAGAAGTGTTTGGTGAATTAAAAAAAAGAAGCAGAGTTTTTCAATGGTCATCCACCAGTAGAAGTATAGTACAAAAAGTGACGAAAAGTAGCTTTCTCTGCAGAATCCTACAACACTATGATTTTTCACATACCACCTTTAGAATACCGCCAACAGAGTGGTATCAGAGCTGCAGATCCTTGCAGCTGCAGCAAAAATAACAACAGTTATGGCTTCCACAAATAACCCTTCCGTAACTTACAACAATGTCAAAGTTCCTCTATTTGAAGGAGAGAACTATGATTTTTAGACTGTTAAAATGGAGACTCTATTCACATCTTTGGATGTTCTAGAGTATGTCAAAAACGGCTATGAAGAACCGGCGCTGACAGAGGCTGAAAAATCAAAAGAAAAGGCTGAAGAATCAAGCCAACGGCTTGAAGAATTGAAGAAGAAGAAGAAGATCACAAATGCTGGAGTTCTCGGGATGATTCAAAGAGGGGTCTCTCTATCCATCTTCCCAAGGATTATGAGAGCTAAAACATCGAAAGAATCCTGGAGTATCCTACAACAAGAGTTCGAAGGAGACTCAAAGGTGCAAACGGTGAAGCTTCAATCTCTTAAGAGAGATTATGAAAATGAAAGGATGAAGGAGAACGAGAGCCTGAACGAATACTTCAACAGAATCTCCGATTTGGTGAATCAGATGAAGTCACATGGTGATACGATATAAGATCACAAAATTGTTGACAAAATTCTGATCAGTTTGACAACAAGATTTGACCCAATGGTAGGGGTAATAGAAGAAACCAAGGATCTATCAACCTTGATTGTTCAAGGGTTGATGGGGTCTTTGAGATCCTACGAGCAAAGGATGTTACGACATTCTGAAAAATCAATCGAGAGTGCCTTTCAATCTAAACTCAACATTCAACCCAACTGTTGTACCCCAAAATTTGCCCTCCCATATTCTTCAAGAATTGCAAAGAGCATGCTTCAAAATCTCCCCAAGGGTTGCACAGTTCAAGGGCCTCCTAACAGTCAAAAACTAGGGTTTTGGTTCTGACAAAGAAATTGAAGTTTTCAAGGGTCCAATCAAGTCTCACATGCCTACAAACATGGTCAAGCATCATCATACCAAGTTTCAAGACTTACAGCACAAAATTGCACAGTCAAAAACCCTAATTGCTCAACAGTCAACTACAGGGGCAAAATGGTCATTTGACAGTCAAAAGTTCAAATTTTTGGTCAACATCTCATTTTGAAGCCATAAACATCATTTGATCAATTCTTGATCATGATTTTCAAGGCATGGCTCAAAAAGTCTCAAGATGCAAAAGTTTCCATATTTGGACAGTTGAAAAAGTCAACTGTAACTTGACCAAGGCATAACTTCCACATGGTTTATCAGAAAAATTCCATCCAAAGCTCATTTTGAAGAGAAAGACATTTCCTACAACTCCTCTTCACACTTCAAGTCCAAGAAATGCTCTCACAAAAAGTTATCAATTTCAACATTATAGGTCATTTTCAAAAGTCAACAAAAAGGGACTTTAAGTCAAAGGCCATAACTTGAGATTGGTAAATCAAAATGACATGGGACCAAAGGCATTGGTTAGAGGACTTCAAGACCTTTCCAAAATGTCCAAGAACATGATCAAAGCTTAAACATTGAGCAAGATATTCCTTGTGGAAGTTGGGAAATTTTTGGGAATTTTGAAAAGTCAACTTTACTTCAAATGCCTCAAAATTGCTAATGGGCCACATTTTCTTCCAAGATTCATCATCCAAAGGCTATGCACGACCATTTGGCCCAAAGGGGATTTATTTCATCATTTTTATTTATTTATTTGAATTTTTAATTACAATTAATTCATTTAATTAAATAAAATATGGAAAAAATACTAAACCAATGCATTTGAATCTTTTTGTGCGGTATTTGCTCTCCTTAAAGACTCAAGATTCGTGCACAACACAAATGGGAAAGATTGGCCATGATTGTAATCAAAATCACATGGAAAAGATTTGAAAAAATATGCATGAAAATCAAATATTCCATACATCAATGCAAAGGGTTTTGGATCCAAATTTCAACCCTAATCCGTTCCCATACATATACTGATCAAAACCTAATGCACAAAGACCTCCAAGCTGCGCCCAAAACCTCTTATGCACTTTGCAATTTTTGTGAAAAAAATCAAAACTGAAAACTGCCTTCTAGCACGATTCAAAGGAAAATAACCACACCATTAGCTTGCCAAGACATCATTGAACCTGACTGAATACTTTTCCACGCCCATAGCATCAAGAATTGGTACATAGAAGTCAAACTGTTTCACATTTTTTGCATAATCGTGTTTCATCATTCACGCCACATTCATCCATTCTAATACTTGTTTTATACTAATATGAACTCAACGAAACTCATGGTATCATTGGATTAAATTATTACGGCTTGTACATCGAATTGCCATTGTTGTTTTTTAGGGTTGCAGGAACCACGAATTAGGGCTTTACGCCTGGGGAAAAATTAGCCAACCTAAGTGGCATCATTGGAATCAGGGGCTCATGACGAACCAATTTCATATGTCGCGCTCAATTTATGAGCGACAGGGTTCTAGTCGCTATTTTTCTGTGTGTCATATAGTGGGGGTTTAAAACCCCCGCAATCTTGTTCTATTTTTCAGGCCAAAAGCAAATGAATGGAGAAGATGATGACTTGTCTCAGCCTGGTTGGAGCGTTCAAATATTTTAGCGCGTTTTTTGTTTCTACCAATAAACATGCTTTTTTTCTCATATAATAATTTTGTCCCATTATGTTTATGAATGAACATGCAGCCCAGTTGGTGGAAGGTGACGCTGGCAAGCCTTGGGACCTGGGTTCAAATCCCAGGTCCCCCATATTCTTCAATGTTTTTATTCATAACACGTTCAGGTACAATTCCTGGCTTATGGTCCATCATACATCCAATATCTTGGTACGCCACATGTCCATAAAAGTCAATCAAAGGGCCAGGATCTGAGGAATACCATGTGCATAAGTCAACCAGGCTACACGTGATCACTGGGAAGTCAGAAAAGGCCAAGCTTCTTGGGCCTAATTGCTAGACAATACCTCCAGATTGGGGCAGAACCCCCCATTGGTTTGCTTTTCTATCTTCTTTCTTTTCATTTTTTGTATTTCTTTGTTTTATTTATTTTTATTTAATTCATCAAGAAATTAATTTCACAAAATATATTAAAAAAAATCAGAAAGTCACAAAATAAAATATATTTTATTTAAATGTTATTTTGTAAATAAATGTTATCAATTAATTTAGTTTTTAATTTTAGGGTTAAATTTTAACATTTTCTTAATAAACTTAAAAAATTTGTAGAATTAGGGTTTCAAACACTTTTACCTTTTTTTTCTTTTCTTTTACCATTATTAATAATTAATTATTTATTTTTGTAAATAAAATTGTATTAATTAATTAGGTTAACTTTAGGTTTAATTTTAACATATTTATTTTTAATAAATTAAAAATAGCTAGAATTAGGTTAATTCCATTAATTCTCACTAAAATCCATAAATACAAAAAACTCCAAAAAATAATTTCCTTTCTCATTTAATTTAATTAATTTCATAATTATAATTTAATTTCCTTAAAAGGGTCCAACGCCCTCGTATTCCCGATTTTAATTCTCTTCGCATTTTTATTTCTTTTTATGAATATAAATGTAATTGCCCAAAAGCCATGTAATAGCTTAATTAGATATTTATCTTTTCGCTTTATTTTATTTCAAATCGGGTCCTGGATTAATTTGGCGATGTGGACCCGCGCCCTTGTAATAGCGTAGGACCTTTATAATTCTCGCAACTTTTAACTGTTAACTATTGCATGAAAGAATGAATGTCAAAATAAAAGCAACGCGTAGATCACCAATACATGACAAGACAAAATATCTGAAAACGACACACAAATCACACACCACCCCTAGGGTACGCCTCACTGTTGCCTTGCCCCTCGAAAGGTGATCGTCGAGTAGAGGATGTTTTAGTAAGTCCTCATGATCCGGGAACCTGGCATGAGGGTAGCTTCTAAGGTGTCTTCCCATTGCTCCGGTGATCACCATGTCCCGAACCCTCGAATTGACCCGAATACCTCCAACGGTGGTGCTACCTACCTCTCAATGGTGGGATGGCACTACTTTAAGGACATTTACACAGACGAATTCCTTAGGGTAGGTAGACGACTCTAGATACTTGCTCTAATTTCAAAAACAAATCAAAAATACTTTTCACACCGACACCTTTTCAAAAAGCTTTCGAAAGCAACTTTTCAAACACTCTTGAGGACCGATACAAGAGTCGAACTGAAATTTTCAAAGAAACTTTTTTTAAAACCCACAATTGAAAAGCAAACAAACCTTTTGAAAACACAATGAGCAAGTATCTAAGAGCCCATGGATAACCATGGATAGAAAGGGTGCTAACACCTTCCCTTTCTATAATCTACCTCCCGAACCGAGAGCAATCTCTATAAGGAATTTTTCTATGCTTTTGTCCTTTCCATTTGGAGAAAATAAAAGACGGTGGCGACTCTTGCTTCCGCGACATTTCGCGAACCAGCGTTAAACAGTCAGTTCCAGATCCACCGATCACAGAACTGGCGACTCTGCTGGGGATATCTTTTAAAGTGAGGTGTACCTTAGGGTAGTTCATAACTGTGTTTTCAATTGTATTGATTTGCT